AAGAAAAGATACTAGATCTAGAGTAAGATTTGGAGGCTTGGTAAAGCATAACTATGGAGGAGAAATATTGGAAATCGATGCATAATCAAGCTCAAGCGAAACGAGATGCCAAATGTGTCAAGTTGGGTAAGCTACAATCTCTAGATAAATAAATCAAGTTAGAGTTAAGGAGCCCGGGTTCTAAAATGTGGAAGCTTAGAGAAGATAATCCGAAATGGAAAATGTCTTTAGAAGCCGAATGCAACAATCGTCAAGATTCAACATAATAATTAATAAAGGCATAAAGCCAAATCGCAAGCACTTAAGACAGTAAAATCGACATTTGGAGGGAGAGTTACTTAAGTTATCCTTGTATTGGGCAACTATACACAATAACTTAGCTTAAGTCTATAATGAGCAAGGTAGAAACTTGGTTGTGCTAGATAATCGAGCAAAGATAGTCTATAAAAAAGCTATAGCATTACGACATTTAAGCCTCGGACATCAATGATCATCGAGTGGAAAATTACAATAAGTGCATGTGTGACTATCTAAGGAGGTATGACTTCTTGTTATTTGAAATGGCTAGGTGAGGGAAGATCTTTGGAGTCTAATTGGGCTAGTCGGTAGTTTGCTCCTTTTTCTTGTATTTCATTCTCGCTTATATGAGTTGCTTTTTCTTGTTTTTTATGTAATGTACTATGAACTATCATGTGCCCGCATGCTCATAATTTTGAATATTCGATGAATGAAAGTTATGACATCTTTCTATATATGGCATGGTCTATTCCGCTTATTGGAACTAACTTGACAAGTTAGGCAAACCAATCCTATTTAATGGTCATGTCGTTGAATCATATCGACTTGTACTTTCAAGCAAAATGAATCCACTCATTTGAGAATTTGATAGGCTAGATGGCTACTCTAAAATTGAATGGAAGAAAGAAATCCAACAGCTTAATGATGTGAATAAACATGTAATTAAATCGAACGATTACTAATGTGAATAAACACATCATTAAACCAATCATAAGCAATTTAATCATAAAAAGAAGACAAGCTCTTTTGTCACGCCCCATAAATGACTATTCCATGTATAGTCTTGAATATCCTTTATATTATTTAAATGTTATTCATATGCCGTATTTTGTTGCTTCATTTCGTTCGGGAACATAGGTCCTACTAGTAAAACCACACTTCCTCCAATAGTTGACAAGACTAGACTAAGAGTGAAAATGGAAAACAAAGAAAGAGCTCGACTAGAGCGAAGCTATCGACAAGAGATAGCAGCATTGAAGGAAGAAGTTATAAGGCTCGCTACTCTATTCGAGTAGAGTGTTCAAATGCGAGCTAGTCTCGGGTCGTCCCCTAGCTCGAATGTAGGCTGACCATCTATTATCGCCCCTAAATCTACATTTACCATTCCCCCGCTTGCTTCCCAACAAACGACTCAAGTCCCCCGATTCGTCATGCCTCAATAATGGAACTCCAACACTAATAACCCAGCCAATACCTCAATGTCGAGAAATATACATGAACTAGTCCATCGGAAAACTCTTACACTACCACAATCCTACTTTGGTTTAATAGCTAATGATTGTAGGAAGGAGAAGATGTTTGCTGAGTTTGAAGCTGAAAAATTCACTACCATTAAAGAACGACTTCGAGCTATCAAGGGTGTAGATGTGTATGACCCTCTCTTGACAATGGACAAATGCTTTATATCAAATGTGGTGATTCTAAAAAATTTAGACTACTAAAGTTTCCTAAGTATATCGAAAGTCGGTGCTCGAGAACTCATTTGAGGATATACATGAATAAGATGGTTGAAGTAGCTCATGATGAAACTTTGCTAATCTACTTTTTTCCTAAAAGTCCGAAGGGGTCCGCTCTCACTTGGTTTATCGATTTAAACTAGACTAAGATTAAGAAGTTGAGAGATTTAGTTGAGGCTTTTATAAGGCAAGTATAAGTTCAACCTAGAGATAACTTTGGATAGATCCAACTTGCAATCAATGGAGAAGAATGCTAAAGAGTCCGTTAGAGAGTATGCTTAGAAGTGGGAGAAACAACTTTCAAAATCTAACCCCCATTACTAGAGAGAGAGAGCTAATTATGTTGTTTACAAACACCTTCAAGCTCGCTCTATTATGACTATCTCGCTAAGCAATGGATCTAATAATTTTATGAAAATAGTATTTATAGCTAATTGTATTGAGCAAGCCATCAACGCAGGAAGAGTTTCGGATCTTACCGAATCAAGATCAAAGAAGAGTAGTTTGGGAAAGAGAGAGGAGGTAGGCGTCCACCAAGTTGAAGTGCTAGTTTTTTGACCAAGAGGTCGTTGGGAAGCCCCATGAAGAGCAAACAATCAATTTATGCCACATGGTGATATAGTCAACCTTGTCTCTCAATTTACAACACCAACAACTATCATGCCCACCAATGTCATTGGTTTGACCACTCGGTCTTTAATTCTTACACAACCTTAGATGCAAACTACTCCTAAAAATCTCCTTACCTTTAAATAGTTCAATAACCAGCGAGCTCTTTTTAACCAAAATGATTAAAGGAATACTAGACGAACACAGTGTAGAAACATCTTGCCACCTCCTTCTATCTCTCTAGGAGATTTGTTCAAACACTTGGTAACCATCAATCGGGTAGTTCTAGTTCGGATACCTTCTTTACAACTACCATATCCAAGATGGTATTGAGGCAAATGAAACTTTTGAGTATCACAGTGGCATAATTGGGCATAACATTGAAGACTCGTGTCAATTTTAAAAAGAAGGTGAAGTAATTGATAGACCAATGGTGGATTACGTTTGAGGATACACATAGTTCTCCAAATGTAAACTCAAATCCACTACCAAATCATACTAGACCTAGAGGAATAAACATGGTGTCATGTGATGATATGGTATATGATAAGAGAGGATCAAGCCCGAAGTTTTCTATTGCCAAATTGTTCGCCCGATGAATACTAAGTGTTGACATGAAGCCTTTTGAAGTGTAAGCTACTATCGATCTTGAACAATATTGTAAGTTTCATAAGACAAGGGGGCATCACATTAATGACTATACTAAATTCCATCACCTCGTCTAAACCATACCGATACTAGGGACTTTGAGGGTGGAGAACGAGAAAAAATATACCAAAGTAAATGTGTTATTTATTGATAATAGTGCCAACAACTTTACACCTTTCATATATGAGCCGATCGAGGTGGGTCTTATGAAGTCGGTTTTGAAAATGCCTACCCCAAGTAAAAGCCGATTATCGAGCCATTCCTTACAATTATTGATCCTCTAATAAGTCGCCTATTGTTATGAAGATCTCTATTGATGGGATAGTAGATATTGGGGGAGTTACGCACAAATGAAGGTTCTATACCCCGTAATAGTTGAGGATGGAGAAAAGGAAGGGTGTTGAACATGCCCCATTGAATACAAAAAAAGCTACCAAGGGAAAACGAGTTGAGTAGTCCTTGATGAATTTTGAGGTGAATAAGCCAATTGATAATGATAAGGTTATAGAGTTTTTGAAGTTGATGAAGCATAGTGAGTATAATGTAATAGATCAACTAAATAAAACTCGACTCATATATCCCTCTTATCACTAATCTTGAACTCTAAGCTCCTTTGAAAAGCACTTCAAAAGGTACTCAATGAAGCTTATGTTCTATGAGAATCACCTCTAATTCGATGGAGCATTTGGTGGGAAGGTTACAAGTCACTAATTACTTGTACTTTACTTAGGATGAATTGGGACCTGAAGGGACTAGACACAACAAAGCCATGTATATCACTATCAAGTACAAGGATCATGTAATTATGAAGGTTCCGATTGATAATGGTCTACTATAAATGTACTACCAAAATATGTTTTGGATAGTCCGTCAATTGATTCATTGCATATAAGGTCGAGTAGGATGATGGCACGAGCTTATGATGGTACTCCTCGCTAGGTTATTGATGACATAGACTTGATCCGGGTATTGTGATATATTAGTTTCAAACCACCCGACAAGTGATTGATATCCATCCTTCTTATCGCATGTTGTTGGGAAGATCATAGATTCATTTGGAGAGGGAGAAAAAGTTAGAAGGATTGAGAGAAGAAGAGAGAAAGAGGGAGAGATAAAGGAAAAGAGGGGAAGGGAGAAGGGAGGAGAGGGAGAGGGAGAGAGAGAGAGAGAGAGGTAAGCGAGATAGAGAGAGATAGATAGAGGGAGAGGGACATGAGGAGAGAGAGGTAGAAGGAGATATGCATAGAGAGGGAGAGGGAAGGGAGAGGGAAGGGAGAGAGAGATAAAGAGAGGGAGAGGAAGAGGGAGACAAGGAGAGGAAAAAAGAGAGAGGGAGAGAAAGATAGGAGAATGAGAGGGAGAGAGAGGGAGAGAGTGATTAAGATAGTGAGAAGGGTATAGACAGAAAAGGAGAAAGAGGGAGGGAGAGAGAGGTATAGAGATAGAAGAGAGAATGGGAAGGAAACGGAGAGATAGAGTGAGTGAATGAGAGAGGGATAAGGAGAGATAGAGAGTGAGGGAGAGAGAGTGAGAGAGACAAAGAGAGTGGGAGAGAGAGAGGTCGAGATGGAGAGAGAGAGGGAGAGTGGGAAAAGGAATGAGGAGGAAAGAGAGAAGGAGAGATGGAAAGAGGGGGAAGGAGAGGTAGAGAGAGGGAGAAAATAGGGAAGTAGGAGAGAAAGATTAAGGGAAAGGGAGAGAGAGAGTAGAGGAAAAGGGAGAGAGAGAGAGAGTAGAGGAAAAGGGAGAGAGAGGGAGAGGGAGAGAGAGGGAGAGGGAGAGAGGGAGAAAAAGGGAGAGATAGCAAGAGAGAGAGGGAGAGGAAGAGAGAGAAGGAGAGAGATATAGAGGGAGAGGGAGAGAGGGTGAGAGAGTGTGAGAGAAAAAGAAAGAGACAAGGTGCGAGAGAGTGTGAGAAAGGGAGAGAGGAGGAAAGAGAGAAAGAGATGGAGAGAGGAAAAAACAGAGTGAGAGGGAGAGAGAGGAGAGATGGTGAGAGGGAGAAAGGGGGATAGAGATAAGGGGGAAAGGGAGAGAGAAAGAGGGATAGAGAGTGGGAGAGAGAAGGTAAGAGGGAGAGGGAGAAGGTGAGACAGAGAGAATATGAGGGAGGGGGAAGAGGGAAAGATAATGGGAGAGATGGAGAGAAAGGGATAGAGGAAGAGGCGGAAAGACAAAGGGTGACAGATAGAGACAAGTGAGATTGAGAAGGAGTGAGGGAGGGGGAGATGGAGAAAAAGAGAGAGGAAAGGGAAGAGATGGAGTGAGAGAGGGAGGGAGGGAGGGAGAGGGAGAGGGAGAGAGGGAGAGGGAGGGAGATAGAGAGGAAAAGAGAGGGAGAGCAAGAGATAGAGACAGGGAGATGGGAGAGAGGGAAAGAGAGAGGAGGGGAGTGAGAGAAAGAGAAAGGAAACAAGAGGGAGGGGGAGAGAGAGTGAGAGAGGTAGGTAGGGAAGGAGGGCAAGAGAGTGAGAGAGAAAGGGAGAGGGATAGAGGGTGATGGAGTGAGAGAGGAAAGAGGGAGAGAGAAAGAGAGAGAAAAGAGAGAGTGTGAGTGGGAGCAAGAGAGGGAGAGAGAGAAAGAGAGAAGAGTGGGGGAGAAAAACTCAAAGAGAGAAGAGGGATAAAGAGAGAGGGAAAGAGTGGAAGATGGAAAAAAACAAGGAAGAGAGAGTGGGAGAGAGAAAGGGAGAGGGATATAGGGAGATAGAGTGAGAGAAGAAGGAGGGAGAGAGAAAGAGAGAGGAATAGAGAGAGAGGGAGAGATCGGGAAAGGGAAAGAGAAAGTGTGAGTGGAAGGATGAGAGAGAGACAAGGAGGAAAGGAGAGGGAGATGGAGAGGGAGAGAGGGAGGAAGAGTGAGAGAGAGAAAGAGAGAAGAGAGGGGGAGAAAAACTTGAAGAGAGAAGATGGAGAAAGAGAGAGGGAAAGAGTGGTAGATTGAAAGAGAGGGAAAGAGAGAGTGGGAGAGAGAGAGAATAAGAGAATGTGAGAGTGAGAGGGAGCTAGAGTGAGAGAAAGGGAGAGAAAGTGACAAAAGGAGAGAAGGAGAGAGGGAGAGAGAGATAGGAAGAAAGAGGAAGCGAGAGAGAGAGAGAGAGAGAGAGAGAGAGAGAGAGAGAGTTGGAGATAAAGGGGGGTGAAGGAGAATGAGAGATGGAGAAAGGGAGAGGAGAGAGAGAGAATGGGAAGGAAAAGGAGTTAAGGGTAGAGAGGGAAAGAGGTAGATGGAAGGAGAAGCGAGAGGGAGAAAAAGAAATAGAAGGGTAGAGAGGGGGAGGGAGAGAGAAGGAGAAAGGTAGATAAAAACAAAGAGAGAGGGAGAGAGAGTAAGGGATATAGAGGGATGGAGAGAAAGAAGGAGAAAGAGAGAGGGGAAGAGAGGGGGAGAGAGAGAGGTAGAGAGATAGAGAGGGAGAGAGTGATAGGAAGAAAAAGAGATGAACTATCATGCATCATATAAAGGTGTAGAATAAAACAAAAAATTTTCCTCCATCCGAGGCTTCTAAGATCACCAAAGTGCTTACTTTTGGCATCATCATGCTAATAAATGTGAGATCTCCTACTACTATCTCATAACATGAGAGAGAGAGTGGAAGAGAGGGAAAGGGAAAGGGGAAAAAAGGGGAGAGAGGGAGAGGGATAGAGAGAAAGTTAGGGGAAGAGAAAAGGAGGAAGAGGGGGAGGAAGAGGGAGGAGAAAGGGAGGGGGAGGGAGAGGGAGAGGGAGGGAGAGATAGGGAGAGAGTGAGAGGGAGAGAGTGAGAGTGAGTGAGAGAGGGATAGAGCGAGAGAGAGAGGGAGGGAACTCCATCTCCCTCTCCCTCATCCTTTCCCTTTGCCCTTCCCTCTCACTCCTTCTCTCCCTCTCTCCCCCCTTTCTCCCTCTTTCTTTGCCTCACTTTCCCTCTCTCACTCCCTCTCCTCTCTCTTATTTTCTCCATCTCGATCTCCCTCTCCCTCTCTCTTTCCCTCTCTCCTCCTCTCTCCCTCGCACTCATACTTTGAAAGGGGATTTGGTTTGGTAATTCAAGAATGAACTCTATGTTTTGTTGAAAATTATTACCAATGAGTATCATCTATAACATGTGTTGGATATGTGATAATGTAGATATGGAAAATAGACTATAAGTGGAATAATCAAAGATGGGATAAGTGCTCTTTCAAGATGCTATCTGAACAATTTTCAAGATGGAGTTTGGTAGGTAAGCTGCCTTCTTTATTTTTTAAACTTTTGCATTATTTTGTAGAGTCATGATGGCCATTGTATATCTGAAACTTGCTTAACAGATTTTGTATGTTTTTAGGATGCACTAGATCTTGCAAAGTGGCCATTATAGTGTCAACAGAAATGGTCGTTCACCATTCCAACTTATTTGATTTGAATCATTTTCTGAATGCCATTTCATTTCCTATGTGTTAAGGATCCATATACCGTAGTTTAGTTTGATGGTCATGTTATTCATACTATAGCCAATAACACATAAATGTATGTGTGTAAGAGCACTCACAAAACCATATATTCGAATATCCTAAAGGGATGTCATTCTTTATGCCATCTTATGCACAATCTCCAATTGAAAATTTTTTATTGAAATTTTTAGTTTATCCGAACTAGTTTGAGATAGAGGCTGTTGAAATTTTCAGTTTAACAAGAGTGAACGTCAACGCATTTAGCCTCAAAAGTTCTGAACCAGATAAATATTCAAGTTTTTCACCAAATAATATGCAGATTTACTTCGCCAGCTAGCATCGTTTCCATATGCTTATTGGACTATTTATTAATATTATTTAGGATGCAGTCTTTTATGGGCAAAATAAATTTTACAGTATCTTCCAGTGGCATTTACTTTGCTTGTCGGAGGTTTAACAATAACATATATCACGATTCAACAAGGTATCTTCGCTCTTGAGGCTTGGTTTGTAACAAACATTGTATTGACTCCTTCTATCCCTACCAATAAAAAAAAATTAATCACTGTCAGCTCCTTTTCTATTCGAGGAAAATTAATATCAATGTTGCATAAGGCTAGCGAGAGCCCATAGGAAAGCAGGGAGGCCTAGTTGGCATTTTAAATTTCACCAAAAAGGTATACTATCAAAATCAAATTGTCAAAGAAAGAAAAAAATGATTAATTAAGTAAATTTCCATGTTTTTTTTTTTTTTGGTCAACAATTACATTTTTCTATGGTTGGCATTTGGCAGCTCTCAGTCACTTTAATTCATCACGTACTCTGATTGCATATTTGGTAACGTGTTACTCATTTTTTACTTTGCAATTGTTTTCATGTTAGCTCTTCTAATTGTAATTTTTTATTTTTATTTATTTTATTTTATTATTATTTTTTTTAACAAAGTATTAGAGAAGAGAAACGGTCTGATTAGAGACTTTAGAGTCCTTTCTTAAAGTTCTGGTTGGCTCGTGTAGTTTGACTGTGTCAATGAGTTTTACTATATATCTCCTAGAAGAAAATTAAGGACTTCAATTAGCATAAGTCTCTAATAAAGATAAGTCAATTGATTCTAGAGCTATCATGCACTTCCTTGAGTTCGAGCCCTCCTCTTATTCCTTCTTCTCCAAACGAGGATGAGCCTATGGTGTCTTTCTAAGTTTTAGAGAAGATATTGGCAAGGATTTTACTGATCATCTTTACACTGCTTTAAAACAAGCAGGAATCCGTACCTTTGGAGATGATAATAAACTTACTAGAGGAGAAGATGTCTCCTCACAAATCCTGAAAGCAATTCAGCCATCCAAAATTTCTATAGTGGTCTTCTCCCAAGGCTATGCTTCCTCCAGATGGTGTCTTGATGAACTAGTAAAGATTCCTGAATGCAAAAATTAAATTGGTAGCTTCTTATTCCTTTATTCTACAATATTGATCCATCCGATGTTCGAAATCAGATGGAGAGTTTTGGTGAAGCTTTTGCTATACATGAAGAATGTTTTAGCAAAGAAATGGATGTGGTCAAAAAGTGGATAAAAGCTCTGGTACTTGCTGGAAATGTATCTGGGCATGATCTCCATAGTGTGATGAATGGGTATTCCTTTCATAAATCCATCTATTTGGTGTTTGAAGGTTAATGAAGAGGCTAATACTTCAAGGTTGCAGAAGGTTAATTGAGGTTCATCCATCTATTAGGTGTTTGAAGCGACTTGTTTTCTTGAATTTGGAGCGGTGTTCGCCTGCACAGCCTTGAAGAATCTTCTAGAAAGCATTTGTTTCTTAAAAGCTCTAGAAACTCTGAACATTACTGGCTACTCAGGACTAACAAAATTCTCCGAGCACTTGGGTAATATGGAAGCCTTGATTGACCTTCTACTAGAAGAAACTAACATTAAGCATCTACAATCTTCCATTGGAAATTTAAACTTCAATTTATTGTCATGTGAAGATAGAGCCATTCCAATTTCATTCCCATTTTCCCCATCTTTATAGAAAGGTGTTTTTAAGCTACCATCTACCTGCCAGCCACTAAGCTACTACCTTGCATGCTAGCCTCTTTTGCTGGATTAAGATCATTGAGAAGATTAGGTCTCAGGAACTTCGGTTTATCTGAAGGGGAAATTTCCATGGGTCTTGGGACCTTATCCTTCCTTTAAGATTTGGATTTGTCACAAAATGAATTCTTTAATCTGCCTACTAGCGTTTGCCTACTTTTTAAAGCTAGAGAAGTTCAAGTTGAATAACTGTAGCCATCTTTAATCACATCTCAGGTCTTCCCTCAAGCTTAAAAACCTTGGAGGTCCCAAAGTGCATATGAATGGAAAGACTATTAATCCAATAAAAAAGATTACCCGATTTGTTACTGAATGATTGTGAAACACTAGTTGAGTTTCAGGGCTTGGATTATGAAAATAAATCATTCATATGCATGGGAAACTACAAGCAATTTGTCAAAAAGAAAGAGAAAAACAAAAAACAAAAAACAAAAATTAAGATCCTTCTTCAAGTTCTCTCAGTTTCTTTTTCTCTATCTCGGCTCACACACAGATTAATGTTTAATATTTTTCGTTTTCTTGGAAATAGTTTATGTCTAAAGGGGACCTTCCTGACATTGTCCTCGCTGGTAGCAAGGACTGATTGCTTTCATCTACTAGTAGTTTAGATGGAAAAGTCAAGGACTGATTGTTTGGACAGTCCATGCAGCATCATTTCATAGAAGCGTTATGGTAGTAGATTCTTTTTCTTGTGCTATCAGGAAGAAGAATCAAGATACCGAAGTGTTCTATTCAGCACCCATTTTCACCCACCTCAAAAATCATTATTGGGTGATATAAATACCAGTTAGTCAGCTTTCAGGTGCAATGGACTGTGGAGAGTAATTGAAAGTGTCTATCAAAATAGGCATTGGTTCTATTACAAAGAAGTATGGTGTCCATCTGATAGCATCTACCTTACGAGGATCATGGAGGAGTAAGAAATTGTTGGTAGAGATAAAAAAAATTGGACAAAACAGTTGCTAAGAAAGGTCAAGAAAGCATTAAAACGTGGGAGAAGAACCAGTTACAGATTATTGACCTCATAAACATGGATTTTTTTCCTAAAGAATTGGAGTAGAAGGAGGTGCGTGTAAGTGTCGAAACGAACGGAAGGGATTAGTGTGACTTCTTGGAATTATATATTAGTCATGGGCAAATGGTATGTTTCTACTGTGCACATGGTGTAGATCTTTACTCTTTTAGTTGTTACTAGTCGAATATACACACACGTTTTTGCGAATAAGTCTATTATCTCTATATTTTAATATTTTAAATAATTTAAAAATATAAATATAAAATAAAAATTAATTAACCCTCATTGTAAAAAAAGAATGTTATATATATATTTGAATTTAAATATATCTTAGGAATATTTTTTATTTTAAAAAATTAAAAATACATGAAATTAATTAATTATTTTAAAAAATCAAATTAGAATGAGGTGTTTAATCAATTTATATTAGAAGAATATTTAATTTTAGTTAATGAATATTTATAAAAATAGAAAAAAATAACCATTAATTATGTAAAATTTTTATTTTAATTAAATAATAAATAATAAAAAAAATAACCTAGTCTAGCAAAATAAAAATGTAGGGACTTTTTTGTAAGATTAATTACAATTAGGGATAGCTTTATAAAAATTGATAACTTAGAGGATCAAAGTGTAAATAATTTAAAAAATTGATAAAAAAATCAGTAATATTTATTTTTAGGTTCAATGCAGCAAAGGTTTAGTTACAGTGAAACCCCATCCTCTTGTAGTATATGTTATTATGATGTTAGGAGTTCAATTTCCATGATGTTTTCTAATGGGACAGCTTTTGACTTAACCAATAACCATGAGGACATTTTCCGCAACCTCTTTCACTCTATTCTTAGATTTTGCTTAGTCTATTACCATTGCTACTTTAATACTTCTAAAACTAAAACATCCTTCTACAGTCTTTACTTTACCATTTTCTACCCTATGCTTGCAAGGCATTAATAGTTTACCACTTGGACATACTTTTCATAGCACGTAATTTGTTTTCACCACTACTTGTTTTGCTTATATGCAGTCTTCTAGGTTTTAGTTTGATTATTGTTGAAGTTTGGATTTCAACATATGATGGTCTTATGATGATTAATGTTAATGGCATAAATTTTATTTGATTTTTTTGATATGAAGTGAAGAAACTAACTATCAACAGTTCTTGGAATTGGCATCTGGAATTCAAGAAAATGTAATATTATGCGTTGTCCAGAAGCTGTTAGAGGACTTTGAGAAGAAACCTATAAGATCTTTGGATGTAACGTTTCATATGTATAATATAAATTAACATGAGTGCTCATGATGTCTAACTAACTTCTTAAAATTGTTTTGCTGCTGCCTGTTCAGTCGACTGACTAGTAGTTGCTCTCTTCTCAAATGATAGTAGCACTTTACGAACTGCAGTTTACTGTTTGTTAATGAAGTGTAACTTGCCTTTGGAAGCCAATTTGCTTAAAAGAAAAGGAAGAAATTGTGTCTTGTGATTAACTTTAAAACTTAAATACGTTCATTTCATATATGTATCATTTGATTTTCATCATGTACGTGGCAATTCAAGCTTTGATAATCTGCAAATTCTACATAAGCAAAAACTAAGACGAATTCCAAAAGCAAGGGTAATAAACAAAATGGGTATTGTACATGATTTCTTATCAGGATGCCCTGATCCAGGTATGCTAACTATCCACAATACTGTTTTTAATTACTGATATTCCAGCTGAGTAGACATTTCCTTATTGACGACGAAGGAAATATATTAGAGGAAGAAAAAGAAATTATAAGAACTAACAGCATTGCCTACCTAGATCGTACAAATGTTACCCAGGTAGGTGTTAAACTATTCTCTATCATTCTCCCTCATCACTCTTATTAATATTCTTTCGTCTAAAGTATTTTTGTTGACCGATATATGCTATTTTTAGGAGAAATACATTGAAATGCTATTTAACAGAAGCTGGTTCCGTTTTTCCTCTCAACAGAGCTTTTTGGGTCAGAAGTCTTTAACCTTACAATTGCAAGGAGCAGGAGTGCTTACTTCTACCGAGTGCATTTCTATGCTCAGTGAAGAATATGGAAAGTTGAGAACATGCATATAATTTGTGTTTTTGCTTCAATCTTCTGCTAGGTTTTGGAATTACCATACAATTTTTCATCTGTATCATTTGGCATTTACCAAAAGTATTTGCTAAGCAAGGTGATGAGATCAGCCTTGAATATGCTTGGCACTCCAGCTTTGAAAGGAAATTTGGTCAGTTAATTTTAAAAGGACCATATTTTGTTGAGAATTATTGCCTATAAATATTATTTATGATATGTTTTGGATATGTGATGCCGCATATATGAAAGGCAGACTTTAGGTGGCATAATCAAAGATAGATAAATGCTCTTTCAAGATACTATCTGGACAATTTTCAAGATGGAGTTCGGTAGGTAACCTGCCTTTTTTATCTTTCAAACTTTAACATTATTTCCTAGAGTCATGGTGCTTGTTGCATATCTGAAAACTTACCGAACAGATTTTACATGGTTTTAAGCTGCGTTGGATCTTATAAGTGGCTGCTAGTATTTTTGTTTGCCTTGTTGTCTTCTTTGCTATAATTTTCACGTACTTTGCCAAAGAATATGCAAAGTCAGTTGCCCCGCCAGCACCAATTTGCCAAATAATGTTGAATATGTCATGAAATAATCAATGTCTATCATCATGTTCATCCACTTTTCATATCCCCACTACTCATGATTATTAATATGATTTAATTCATTATTCAATATGAAAAATTAAAAAGGTGATGCAATTAATTATTCATAGTCCCTTCCAATTCTCTCTTCAATTTTGAAGCCTATAAATAGGTTTAATTGTTCATTAGTTGGTGTACAAGTTTCCTAAAGAGAATAAGAGAAACTTTGAAGTTCTTATCACTTATATTTACATTATAGTGATTTCATTTTCTTGTCATTATTTCCTTCAATTCTTCTATTATTTCTATTTATTTTATAACACGTTATCAACACGAAACTCTAAACAATTGAGACAATAGACCATTAGGTATGTATTTATCAAAAGATTTAATCAATTGTTTCAACAATTGGATTTCTTCTACACAAGTGCTCTATCAAAAGATCTAAATTATTTACATCATTAAGAGGAATGTATCTAATTTATTCATGTACTTTAAATCTATTGATACATGAAATATATATTTGAAAAAACTTAAATGATCTACTAATGATCTAATATATATTATTTGAAAAAGCTTTAATTTTATTATTATATTTGTTCTTATTTTCTAATATTATTATTATATATTGTATTATAGAATTCTTATCATATTAAACCTCATAAACTTGATTTAGTGACTCTTGATATTTTGAATAAGAATTATTGATTATGAGTGCTTGATTTTGAAAAAATATTCTCTACTTTTTATGTCATGGATATGCTCCTATAGTAGCATATCAAGCATATCGAGAAAAAGAGTTTAAGAAATATTTTGGATCGATTTTATACTTGTTAGTGGCTAAATAAAATGAAAAAGAATAAATCTCATCCAATTGGATCTATTCCATTCCCTAAAGTGAATGTGACAATTTATAATAATTTTAGACATGGTTGAAGATGTCATCATAGCCATGGATATGATCGAAATAATTATCATTATGATCGCAATGACCATAATATTATATCTCACTACCGAAGTGCATAACTATGAAAAAAAGGAAATAAAAATAGATAAAGTTAGTATTCTGAAAAATAAATATTATAAATGTGGAATTAATAAATATTAGTCGTGTACCTGCCGTACACCAAAGCACCTCATTGAGCCTTATCAAGCCTTATTGAAAAATAAAGAGTCAAATATGAAGGCAACTTTTATATATATATATATATATATCAAAGTAATAGTAATTGAAATTAATTATTTGTTAGTTTTTCTATTTATAAATAAAATGTTTTATATTTCTTATAATTTATGTCGTATATTGATGGTTACAAATTTATTTTACTATATATTTATTTGTTTATGTTTATGAGGAATATATTGATTTATTTGATTATTTATTGTTAATGTTATATATAATAATATCAATCTAATAGAAAGCTCTACAAAAGCGACTATATTACTATCTAAAGAGATAGATTTTAAAGGCTCTAAAAGATCGATTATATCATGACTTAAAGAGATAAATTTTTGAAGCTCTATAAGAGTGAATAAATTATTACTTGAAGAGAAAATGTTTAAAGGCTCTAGAAGAGTCGATATATTATTACTTGAAGTGACTAATTTAAAGGCTCCAAAAGAGCAAATATGTTATCATCCGAAAGAATAAATTTATTATGAATGATGTACTATTCTCTTCAAAGTCTCATAGAAATTTATTGAGTTTCAAAGATATTCATCTGAATTGATATCATATCAAGATAGCAAATGTGAATACTTATATGTTATAATCATTATATCGGGTAGAATATATCTATAAATTTTTTTTTCATTTTCTCTTCTAGTCTTTATTACAAATATTGAAATGATTGAAACAAATATTGTAGTAAATCGAAGTTTACTAATTCAAAT